GGGACTTAAGGCTGGGTCTACATAGGATGTCGTAAGTCGTGTCGGAAGAAATTGACCAATCACAGTCTATTTTCTCCTTACGATCGAAGAATAATGAACTGTGATTGGTCAATTTCTTCCGACACGACTTACGACATCCTATGTAGACCCAGCTTAAAGCCTTGTGTCCACTATCCAAGAACTGTGTCAAAGTTTTAGTTTTGAAAAATGTGTAGCCAATCGACTTGCATCTCTTACGGAAAAGCTGCAAGTTGATTGGCTACGCATTTCTCGGAACTAGAACTTGGACACAGTTCTTGGAACGTGGACACAGGGCTTAAAACGCCGGCGTGGCCCTCTCAGGTTTCTCTCTGGGACCCGATTCTCGAAATCATTCGAAGAAGAAACGTATACGAAAACTCTGCTCTGACAGAAAAGTTGAAAGTCGATTGGTTAAAGCCATGCGAGTAGCCAATCAACTTGCAACTTTTCTGTGAGAGCAGAATTTTCGCATACGTTTCTCCTTCGAATAAATTCAAGAATCGAGCCCCTGCTATTGGTCGCTGGGGCAAGAGGAACATGTGGGAGCATGCGACACGAACAGACCTGAAATTATCACGTGGTCGATTATGTTGGCACACCCGTGCACCCGTCCGTTCAAAAACCGGCTACCGGTTCAGTGTAGGCTTCATTTGTCCGTTGTAAGCATCGTGTTCGCCTGATTCTCCATGGGTGGATCGACGTAGCGGTTTATTCTCACATTGTTAACTTCGTTACGTGACGAATCCCTTCCCAGAAATAAAAATGAGCAATCAGCGAAGACGCGCTCACGATTTTACAGCCTCTTTAACAAGCTTTCGTAAGTATTCTCAGTGTTTTCCCTCTGCCTAGTCGGAATTTATAACAGTACAGTTCTAAATATATTAATCGTCATCATCATAACCGGCTCTACAGTCCCAAATCGGCCCTGGCCTTCGCAAATTGCCCCCGTCCGAGGCTCGTTGTGTTTATTCGCAACAGTGAGTTTTTACGGCGAGGGTTTGTTAGCCTTTCGCCAAACCCCCTTTTCGGATGTGTGTCAGGATACTGTCGGTAGTTGCCTCTTCTTTAGAAGAGAGAAAGAGAGAGGGAGGTAGCGTCCGATAAAACCAGCAGTATCCGTGGGGATTTGAACTCGGATCTTCCCGGTCATTTGCTTGTTAAGCCACGCTCGCCACAAATATATTAATACACGACTGCTTATTAATTTTTCCGGCCAGCTTGATGCTACAAATGCTTTAAGCGTTCTTCACCTTCTTAAAAGCAAGGAGACGAATGCCTGGAAGCATCAAGTGGTCTGCGATCTATGTGTTATGTACATACATATATATATATAGGGTGTAGAGACCCTGTAGTCAGAGACTTGCTACAAGAGTTCGTCAAATTCCTGCGAGTGAGATTATAACGATCGTAGAAGAGCGAGATAGTCTATGTTTCTCTCTCACTCGCAGGCATTCGACGAACTCTTATGGCCAGTCTGTGATTACAGGGTCTCTAAAGGCCTGCGTCCACGAGGCTAGAACTTGGACCAAGTTCTAGCAACGTGGACACAGTCCTTACTAGGGTGCATGTACTGCGTAAAACTTTTCAGCAAAACGCTCATTTCTATGTAATTTAATCATATTAAATCTTGACCCTACATTTTGTGGTTTCAACTCGAACGTACGGTTTATGTACATGTCCTTTTACAGGTCAAACGTTAAGCGACGAGGAATCCAGTTCGACAATGTCTCGAGTGTCCTCGGACAACACATCATGCGATATAAGAAGTAAACAACACAAAGGTGACTTACACAGCCAGTCGAGGCATGCCAAATCTCGCGAATCTGTTATTCTAGCAGGTAGCTTAGTCAGCCAGCAATACCATTCGCTATCCGACTCGTGCAATATTTCTAAGAACTGTAATACCGCACACAATAACAGGCAGCTTCAGCGGAGCGATATGTGGAACACGTCGGACGATAGTACGTCGTATATGTCGCTCAAATGTGATTTAAACAAATGTATAAATCTGTTTGATAACGAACAGCTTAAAGAAGGCACTCTTGAAGAACAGTTAAGCGCCACGCTATCCGAGACCGTGATCGGCGAGAGAGTTCATCGCCGTTTAAGCAGGGACCCGACCGTGGGACGACACAATTGTAATAGCCTTCACCGTTCCGTGTCGGCAGATTCGTTGAGACGCCAGGCTTTGCTCAATCGAGAATTCACGAGATCCAAGAGCTACACTACGCTCGACCAGATGTTGAAGAGAGACACCAACTATAATCTCAAAGCCGACAAGCTTTTTAGTCCCAGCAGGAAGGTTAAATTAATCTTTTCCTTCGACGTACCAACGTCGCCGAAATCGCCCACTTTGCCAAGCGAGAGAGGTGACGAGAGATGCGATACGATGAGCAGCACGACTTCCAAGGGGGAGCTCAATTTGAAATCCGAGCTGACAAGACTTTTACGCTCATTGCCAGATGAGAAACCGTTGAAGGAGGCCACCACGCAGCGGCACTTTCTGAGACGCCTGTCCGCAAATTGTCAGGACTCGCCCAGAGTCTTTACGGAGAGATTGCTGACCATCGTCGAGGAGTCTGTATTAATCAACGATTCTGGAGAGGTCAGTATGTGCAGATTTAACGACAAACTACAGAAAATGCACAAGTTTATAGAGGACGAGACCGTTCCCGAGTGGCCCCAGTCTCCCGGTACGTCGGCGCCGATTTCTGGTACGAAGAGAAAGAGCCAAGAACACAGGGCTGATTCTTCGCGGAGATCCTGCACTCACGGGACTCCCGATGTACGTCTGGTGACGCCCGTTTCTTCCCGACGCGACGTCAAAAGCCCCAACAAGATACGTCGGCGTAGGTCCAGGAACAGTTACATGAGAAATTTCAACGATAACACGACTACGTTTGAAAATTTGGAAGCGTATTGCCAGAAATTGTTTCCCAACGAGAACAAGACTTCGTCAGCGAGCGACAGGATTCAGTCGGAGTCTCCCCTGAGACACATGGATAACCTTAGGCGTGCGTGCGAAAGTCAAATGGCCTCTTTGGACAACTCGATAAATATTTACGAAGAGATCAAGAAGGCTGGGACATGTGCCTCGAATTTCGCGAGTCAACACGTTCAGACACCAGAGACGCGAGATCGGCAACGCGGACCGGCGTCGTGTGAGAACATAAAATGTTCGAGGAAGGTCTCCAGTACGTTTAAGCGGCGGACGGAATGTGGTAGGTGCTACGAGACGGCCGAACAACTGGACGATTTGGAGAGTACGCTCATGTACGAGATTGCGAGGAAACGACAGAGGTGCCTCGACACGGCGAAGGTGATGATAGAAATCGATGCGAATTTGGAGTCGACAGCAGCGTCGGAACAAAAGTATCCGGAAATCAGAGTCACCGAAGCCGCGCCGACTATGACCACGAGCGACGAGAAATTTATGAAGGTTCTAATGTGCGTGAAGAACTATCAGGATTACTTGGAAGAATACAAACCCTTGCTCAATCAACTTCACCGATTAAAGTCGACCTCTCGAGATGCCCGAGCTACGAAGACGCCCAGCGAAAAGTTCAGTACGTCGTCAGTTTTATCAGGGCACAAGAAAACATTGCGGACACCGCGGACACCCAAGCTGTCACCGAGAAAGACGAGCCCTTCGTCGGCAAAACTTTCTGCTCACAAAACGGTCGTTTCGAAGCCAAGACTATTCGTGACACCTGGAAAGCAGTCCGTTAACAAGGGTTGTAAGCCAAAGCGTATCTATTTTCCCAATTTGATGCCGGAGCAGAATAAGCCGGAATCAAACATCAATCTGCACGCCAAGAAAATTTATCGGCAAATGGGAAACTACGATCACGTAACATCGCCCGTGGCCTTGTATATAAAGGGCAAGGAGCAGAAAAAAAATCAACTACCCAAAACGCCCGATAAACTGACGCCTGGAACGAAGCGGACTATGCCCAGTCCAAGAAAGAAGTTCCGATCTCCGATACGACCGAGAGAGGTGAGCAACGCGGCTACAGATATAAATATAATTTATTAGAACTGCAATGCATTAGAAATCTACCTCGATCTGCGTTATTTCATAAGCTAACAGGAACAACAGACAAAAACGTTGCCGACCATTTTTTGCATTCAAAAGTGCACGGCAAGCTCGCGTCTCATGTACACACGGTATGTAATAATTTGTGTGTGTGTACATGAGACGCGAGCTTGCCATGCACCGTTAATTAAAATTTAATCTAATAACTTTGACATTATACAATTGTGTAACGACTTGGAAATTTTCTTCAGATAGAGGAAGCAGAAGATTGAGAAGTGGGAAAGCTTGTATCGATAAACGATCTGCACACAATTTGAGGTAAAGTCGTGATCCGACATGAAGGCAACATTTAAATTGCAAGAATCATGTATATATTACACAAATGTATATATATTACATAAATGAGAGTCACATGTAGATTCCTTTTAAAACTTGTTTCTAACTTATTTAAATATACTATATATTATTTTAAAATTTTGAATTATACTTAAATTAAGAATTAAATTTAAATATAATTTCTGAAAAAGTTTCAGATCTCGCGAACCAATATATAAAATTTAAAATTTTGCATCATATTTCAGATCGTGCGAGATCGGCCCAGGCAGATCACTTGGAATAAAATTCACGTGCCCACTGAACAGAAACAAAAGACAAAGTGCTAACTAAATTTAATCTTCCTGTAGATTATTTCGTTCTTGCGTATACGTTGATTAAAGTTTAATTCTTTTATGTATTGACCGATTTATTGATAATTATGGCCAGATGAGGTTGGAATTTAATTTTTTTATTAAAACGTTTCGAAAAACATGCATTAACATTATAGATTTCATTCTTTGTAACATATCCCTCATCTCCGACAGTCAGCTCACATTAAACATATCTATACATCTATTAATCTTTTTACATGATGAACGCGCTCAGTCCTGCGAAAGACGCAGCAAAGTATATATAGTGACTTAACGATAAAAAAAATAAAACAATTGCTGACGCGGAAGAATAATTTGAATTGCACTCTTAATCAAATTTAATCTCTTTATAAAAACATTTCGTAAAACATGTATTAACATTTATTATAGATTTTATTCTTTGTAATATGTCCCTCATCTCCGACAGTCGGATCACATTAAACATATCTATATGGCATCAGCTTGGGTGTCCGCGGTGTCCGCAATGTTTTCTTGTGCCCTGATAAAACTGACGAAGTACCGAACTTTTCGCTGAGCGTCTTCGTAGCTCGGGCATCTCGAGTGGTCGACTTTAATCGGTGAAGTTGATTGAATAAGGGTTTGTATTCTTCCAAGTGATCCTGATAGTTCTTTACGCACATTAGAACCTTCATAAATTTCTTGTCGCTCGTGGTTCTTCATGTAAAAAGATTTATAGATAGTATAATAGAGATGTATATATAGTATATAGTAGATGTAAAAAGATGTATATAGTAGATGTAAAAAGATGTACATAGTAGATGTAAAAAGATGTATATAGTATATTGTAGAAAAGATAATAGACGTCTTTTTCTAAACTTTTTGATCGTCGTCGTAACTTTGCGATAATTCGACTTCTTACTCCCTGTAATCGAAGATATCAGGAAGATTAGATCCGTTCTTCGAACCCGAAGCTATTTCTTAAAAAAGGTAGCACTTACAATTAGTAAAATGGATACAACGAAGAGAAGCAACGTCAACTCGAAGGCCCGCACAGTTCTTATCTAATAGCAAACCTAGTTTTTAAGTTTTACCACCCTAATACTAACATTACATTGAGCGTTATTGCAGCTAGGAAGAAGTTCGATGTATACACCGCTAGACGAAGCGATCTGAACCTCGAATGTAAAACAGGAGCGGGAAGAAAACACGGAGTGTTTTCTAATGTAAATTGCCGCGAACGAGTCTCGACAAGGACGGCTTTACGAGGGGCATCGTAAAATCTGCGGTGGAAAAATAGCGCGAATGTGGCAAAAAGATCCCGGACGGGAAGGCTTCAAAGAGCGCGCGGCGATCACCGCAACTGCGTCGTTTTCAGAATCTAGAATGTGGGAGGCTGCCTCTCCTCCTCTGCCGTTATCGATACGATACGTAAGGCGTAATACTACTGCGTCGTTTCTCGCAATTCTCATGATTGGTCCCGTGTCGACAACGCCGACAGGGCCGTCGATCTCGAGTCAATGACACCGAGATCTGTGCCAATATCGCGGGCACGGAATTTTTAATTGGACATTCAGGAAGGAGAACGTATTGTCTGCGAGGTCATGTATCACTGGCATGGATTTGAGCGTCCTTGATACACCGGACTTGATTCAAAATCTTTTTTATCTTGCATAACATTCCGCTTCCTGAACTTCCCCCGCTACACACAGCGGACGCCGGTCAAGCGCCGTGAAAATGTACGACGATTTGTAAATATCGTTCGTTAAATTGTTAATTGTGCAACAGCAGAGCTGTATATTCTTTATGAATAACATTTCTAATCGCTTCTTTTATTTCGATATCTTTCATCGAAGTATATCTTTACTGTTAAATATTTCGTTTACCGATGGAAAATAATGTTCAATTCGCAACTACGTTAGATCAAATTCTCTAGAGATAATATGTAAAAGTTAAGATATCCAAAGTCAGCGTATATTCTTACATTCTCCAAAAAAACCTTTTTAAAAGAAGGTAACAAAAGCCGCCAAGTATAAGCGTGCGATCCGAATAAGAACTGTATGATTTATTTAGTTGGAAGTTTTAATTTTATGTTAACACAAAACGTTTCTACCTTCTCTACAAAAATATCTTATTTACAAAAGTAATGATCTCTATGTTCTCTGGAAAGTTATCTTCTCTACAAAAGTATGTCTTTTACCAAAGTGATATCAACGAATTGCGCCAAATATTGTATAATACTGACATTTCGAAGTCTTACGATGATCAAGTTCGTATTTGTACGCAAAGATGGGAACGAATACGTTCAAAATTACGTCAAGACATGAACGCGCGTATTGATTCGAATTGAATTTTTACAGAAATGTAACAATGCCGGGACCGAATGGTTTGAGAGATAACGTGACACGTCGCTTCCTGCGTCATCCTAGTCGGAAAAATTCGCGCTGCTGGAGTCACACGGCCCTGAGGGATTGCGCGTGGCACGCATGTTGACGATTGCACACGCCGCGCGCGTTGCGCTTGTCAAGCCGCTCGGAACCAAGCCCGTTCCTGGTGGGGAACGATCGATAAATTCGAAGCCGCGACGTGGCGAACAAGCACTCCGCTGAGTTATCTGTTCGAGACCTGAACCAAGTGAAGCGACAAGCCAGAGCCGACCAAGATGCCGGGACCAGGATGCGATAAATGCAAGGGTGAGTACGCTCTCAAATGCTTAATGGACTCAATGGACAGTGCGGATTTAATAGAGGATTTGACGTGACGTTTCCTCAATTGTTGCTGTTGCTCTATAAACGAGCTATTGGGGCACAGTGGGACGTTTGAGCGGAAAACAGATTTGTGCTCTTCGAGGAGATGTCACGCGATTGATTTATAATTATCATTCATTCGGCGGTGCGTGGTCAAAGGGTCAATTGATTAGTTACCGTATCATTCAAGTTCTTTGTTGAAACGTTTTATTTAACGCGACTTGTAAGAATTGAGACGGGAAACTTACAGTCGACCCAACTGGCTAGTTATTTTATTACTTTATTACACAACGTTTCGACCCTATTATTTTCGAGCCGGGCGCGAACGTATGCATGTATCTGATAACTCGACTCTGTCTTATTCGACGACGATGACTGACTTAGGTATCACTCGAAGAGGTCCCGAAGATAAAATAATAGGGTCGAAACGTTGTGTAATAAACTAACAAAATAACCAGCCAGTTGAGTTGACTATAAGTTTCCCGTCTCAATTTTTAATCATTACAATAAGCAAACCCTCCTTTCGACTTTTAAATAATTGTTAAACGTACGCGTCATCTAGAATTGTATCTCAAACTTGTGAATTCTAATTCCTCTTTAAATCTCGAGAGTGATTTTTTATTTTAAATTTATTACAGACAAGTGCCAGGACTGCAAATGCGGCGACAATTGCTCGTGCTGCGATTCCGGATGCAAAGGTAATATTTATATCTAGGAATTAACAGTGCACTTGCACACTCGCTGATTGTGCAATTCGCCGCTTGCCGGTCAGGCCACTAGCGGGTTGTTATTTTTAATTACAATCGGCACGTCGGAATGTCTTTCTCTTTCCGAAGAATCGACGCACGAGAACGCGCGGCGACTAACTGTACTTTTACATGTACATTTTTGTTTTTCATCCCGGACAATGACCGGCTAATGAACGTCGACTGGTCACACCCCTTAAACACCGTACATCACAATTCCACGAGACTCGTGGCGCAAATCCGTTGCGCATGACGCAATGGCGCGTAACGTTATGCGAAGCTTCTACGTCGCGTCGTCGGTCATTTCGATTATTATTACGTGATAAAACATGAGTCATGAAATTACTTCCCGGAACACAGTGCATCCTCTTCCGTTTTTCCTTTCGCTTACACGCGACCCCCGTTCTCTCTCGCCGAGTTTATTTTCACAATTTTCTATTTCACGTTTGAGGCTTACGTTGGCAAAAAGCAGTAATACTTTCATATTTTACGCGAGAAGTGAGAAGAGCCGACACGTGGTTTTTTACGAGTTGTTTAAAGTAGCTTATTCTTTCTCTAAAGTTCTATCGTGGATATCTGCTTTTTCAGAGAAATCTAAACCTGTTCCGTTTGTGAAAATATAATGTTAATAAATTATATTCTTCTTTTTACAGACCAATGTAGCTGCAAGTCGGGTGGAAAGTGCAACTGCAAGCCTTGCACCTGTTAATCAACAACCATGTCGAGGACAATCCACGTTGGAAGTGATAATTAGATCCTTAAGTGCCCGAGTAAATGCAACATGTAGCTAATATTCGGAATGTATCACTATCCATCTAAAATTTCACGCTTAGTGAATGTTAGAGATGCGTCGCGTTTTTGCTTTCTTGCTAGATAAGCAGTTAGTGTAATGAATTAATAAAATTTACTTCACGTACATTTGCTTTACTGTTAATATTCTTCCCACCTTTTTATACTACATAGGCTGCGTACCGCCAGTGCTGATATAATCTATACGTGACGTGCGCTATAGATTTTCAATACTGGCAGTGAATATCTGGAACATGGCCGTAATATAGAAGCTTTCCAGCTGAGAGTAATATAATTCACAACTAATTTTACCGAGAATACTTGTGCAAATTTAAAAGCAGAAAATGAAAGAGCAGTGCGATCTAAATCTTATCTTAATCTTTGAAAGTTGGAAGATCAATCTTTCAGCATTAGATTCAATTTTTGGACCTCAAGAGTCGCGCTTTCCTACGCATTAAAAGATTCTGAGTTTAAAATAGAAAAAGTCGTCATACAACCCATTCGATTTTTCTAAAGATTAATTAATCTAATCTTAATAATCTAGTTTTGGTGATAATTCGCGAGATAATGCTTATCGCTATACAATTTTAGTGGTACTCACGTTTCGCAATTCAACATACGATATCTCGCGAATATATTGCGACTGTTGTCGTATTCTTGTAATCAAGTACTTCTATTAAAATGAGATTAAAACCGACTGGAATGTAATTCTTTTCATTTATTTCTCCTTCAAATATTCTTTCTGCGTTAAATAATTCTTGTGACTAGAGTCCGCTACTTCGAGCGTCTTTCAATGTTTTGATATAATTTGCGATATCAGAAATAATTATACGTATCAGGCAAATTAATTTGCTGCTTCAATCATTTTTGTGTTTATGAAAACATTGTACTTTATTTTTCCTATGACAGTAACGTTTTAATAAAGAGAATTTTTTGCACCTGATTGTACGCGCGCTTCACTTAAACTTTATCAAAAATATTATATGAATGTAAACGTTTACAAATCCTGTTGATAAAACGGAATCACTAAACTAGAACGTAGCGAGTTTTAATTCCATGTGTATTATTTTTCTACATTAAAAAATCCTTTATTTAAAATTTTTGGTAATCTGTTCTCTAATTTTTATTCGTCTTTTGTTAATTTAATTTTGATATCTGATATTATAATATGATATAAGATTTGAAGCTCAGTGAGCTGGTAATATATCCCTAAGATTCGCCATATTTTATCCATCATTTTAAGTATTTTCGAAAATCTGATAGCATATTTAGTTTCAGCGATTTCGAGAAGCCTCGATATTAAAATTATCACGTAAATCTAGAAATCTTCTTCACACAGTGGATTACCACTTCACGCGGCACGAATAACGTACATTTGCCACATTGCGATCAATTAGTTTTACGGGTTCACGTAGAAAAGACTCTATTCGGGAAATAACGTTTTGAAGCTCCCGCGCGACGTGTGGTGCGCCCGGTGTAGCGAGTGCAGCGCGCAGAGTGCAGGGCGGGAGAACGCTCGGTCGCCGCGACGTGATTGGCTCCCGAGTTTGAAATATCGGAGTAGCGCAATTGCGCGCCGAAATCGCTAGTTCTAGGCTCGCGTCGGGACGATGTGGATTCGCGTTCCAGGCGATTCCGCGTTTCTCGCTTTCGTTGCCCCTCGGGAGACGGTTTCGCGTGCGAATACAGCGTACGAGTGCGCTCGGGATACCGAGCTTGTGAAGTGCAGTGTGAATACGTGAGCCGTGAGTGCCTGGTGCAGTGCATCGAGTTCCGGAGCGGCGAGCCAACCTCGCTAGAGGACGGAGCCAACCTCGCTAGAGGACGGAGCGCCGGGGAACCGCCATCCTCGCCATATTCTTGGATACGTTCACCCCGAAACGCAGCCAGGGTGCGCGGGATCGTCGCCAAGTATGTACATACGCATGCTACGAGTAGTCGGGGATTAATATCGAGGGGCGAAACGCGATCTCGCCGAGTTCGTCTCCCGACGCCGCCCCGTCAGAAATGGCTCGTCAATCGACGTCGAGACGCCGTCGTGTCGACATCGAAACCGCCGTATTTATAACTGGTCAACTGGTGCGATAAATTAGAGTAAGACAAGAATATATTTTCTCATTCTAGCTTACTGCGCTAGTTTACCAGTGCGGGAACAGAGGACAAATCTAATATCGTTTCCGCTGGGCGGAAAGGGCCGTACAATCGAGCGTCGCGTTTCTCGTCAATTCTCGAGTAATTGCCGCAAGTCTGTGGCATAATTATGAATTTGTGACCGGCGATTTCGATCGATCCGACGGGAAACTCGCCGCGGGATACTGTTTTTTCTTTTTATGAACGCGACAGATTCGTCAAGTGCGATTCGCGCGATCGTAGCGACGCTACGTGACGTTTCGCGAGCGGCCGGCGAATTTATCGGATCAATTTCGTGCGACCGTCCACGCGTCGGATTTTCCGCGACGCGAGGAAGCGTCGGGCGATCGATTGGACATACGTATGGTAACTGGGAACTTCTACGGTAACGCTTGTCCGCTACTGATCGACCCTCGGTAAACCGCGGCTCGCGCCGCGGTGGGTAATCGCGATTTCTGCATTCCATTCCGTCGGCATTTAACCAATCGCGGCGTTCACGATACGCGAGGGCGCGCCGGCGCTCGGCAGAACACTTTAAACGCGCTCTCGAGCCGATTCGCAATCGGAGGCTTGATCTAGGGATCAATTCTGCATTTTACACTGTAGCGAAAATGCTAAAAGTGAGTACAGCTGTGTCTCTTTCTAAAGAAAAGAACCATCTTCTTAATAAGAGAAACGAAGCCGCTCACTTCTAGCATTTTCACTATATTGTAACTTGTAAGACACAGAATTGACGCCCTACTCTCTAAAAGTCAATCAGTGGATTATCGCTGAAAACAGTTGGAAGTGTAACGCTGAATTGTTCATTATAACCGTGAATCAGCGAATATACACTGTTTTCAGTGATAATCCACTGATTGACATTTAGAGAGTAGGCCTAGCTCAGAGTCTCTCTGATCAAAGTCTGTTCAACAGGCCGGTTTCGGCAAAATGAT